AATGACTATGAGTGAATTTAGACTTTTCTCAGAAATTGGAAATGCCCTGAGAGTTATTACTTTTCTATCACTGGAAGACCTCAAAAGGAGTTTGAATAACCACTTGTCAGAGACATTACAGATGGAATTCCTGCATCAGGTGTGGATGGGATTAAAACATCTCTGAATTCCCTTCCAGCTCTGAAATTCTATGATTATTATCCCCATGAGGAAACTGAGGCTTAAGAATATTAAGTGTCTACCCACAAGCAATTTAAAAATTAGTTGGGGAGACAAGGAGTACAGACCCAAAACAATTAGTGAACGAGTATACCAGAAAGTATTAAACAAGGCAGTAGAAACCATGACAAAACAATTTGGTAAGAAACCTAAGGGGTCCACAGAAATTAAATAAATTCAGATGAAGTTCCAGCCACAGACTTAGGTACCATAAGCATGAAGTTGGCTTAAGCAATAGACCAAAATTAGGGTTGAAGTCTTAGCTCTGCAGCTCATTAGCTATGTGATCTTGTGCAAGTAAGGACATCTTATCCTGGCTTTTGTTACCTCCACTGGAAAAAGAAGGCATTACCAATGTCCCTTTTCTAATGTACTAGATTAAGTAGGGGTGACAGAGGTAAAATATCTGACCGTCTGTGGAACCATTTCTCCAAGATCTACCCTCACTGTTTTAAAACCTCATGGAAGAAGGTGCACTGTGTAGCATCCCAATGGGGATGAACAGATCCATTCAAGGCTGAGATTCATGAATAACTGAACAGAGAAATCTCCTCCCCTGTTTATATTAGTTAAATAAGGAAATCAAAGTCTCATTAACCTCAAAGAATCTCAATGAGAAGATGCTCTTTTCAGGGGTAAAGATCTGCATCACCATCTTTCCAAAGTGATCTAGATCAAAATGATCTTTTCAGAGTAAAAATGAGTCTAAATTCTAAGAAGAAGGAAGGTATTGTGGAGATATTTTAAAGCAATGGTATTAAACTCAAGTAGAAATGGAGGCCATTAATCCATACATTCCTGGGATCCCTGTGAGCCACATATTAACTTAGTTTTAAAATGTTATCTGTGATTTACTGAATTTTTATTCATTTTGTTAAATATTTCCCAATTACATTTGAATCTGGTTCCCAGGGCACTCAGGAGTATTGGGGGCAGCAGTGGCTGAGTGTTTTGACACCTCTGTTTTAGAGCATCTTCCCAAGGTTAGGTCTTTGACCAAGAAACAACAACATGAAAGGGAAATCCACTGAACAGGGGTTTATAACATTAGTGTGACCTCAGCTTCTGAATTCATTAAATCACTTGTATGAAATAAGCCCACTCCAACAGAGGTAGAATTACACAGTTATCTCTAATCCAGTATCAAATAGATTGTCCCTTGAATTAAGGTCTGACTATATGTGAGAATTTTATTGAAATGGCTTCCTCCATCTTCAGAGCAATCCATTGCTGATACGTTCTGCCCAGTGTTTTTATGTTTTTTAAATGTTATTTGATCATATTTTTTAAAGTTGCACATTTAACTCATTTTAATAAAGAAATTAAATGCATCAGCAAAATTTCCTCCCCCAAGGCTATTATTTTTCTAGAAATTCCCTTTAAAAGTCAGATCCAGAAAAGTTATCGCCAGAAGAGTGTTTTCTTAGTCCTGGATTTCTCACTCCCCATCAGCTGCAAGGAAAACTTATAATCAAAGAAGATGTAAACAAGAATAATCCCTGTCAGCTTAATGGGAAGGCATCACAGCTTTAATGTGCATTAATTAGCAGGGTCTTATTCTACAATAGTCCATTAACACTCAATGTTAGTGCCACTGTTTCTCCAAATGTCATTCACCCTACTGACTCATCTGCCAGGATTGATCATAGCCCCACTCCAAGATTCATCTGCCTTCATGGTGACTGAATACAGGGCCAATGAGTCTTCTGACTTTAATCTAAGTAATTCAAAATGGAATTACCTCATGCAGTCTCTTTCTTACCCTCCTAAAATAAGTAAGGTAATATAATGGAAAGAATGTTTGGTTGGGAATCTGGAGATCTGGGTTCAAGTCTAGATTCAATTAAAGCTAGCTGGATGACATTAGTGAATCATTTACTTTTTCATCTATTAACTGAGGACAATAAAACTTTCACTACCTACTTGAAAGGACTCTTGTGAAGAGAGTACTTTGCAAACTTTAAAATACTATGTAAGTGGACCCTTATTATTTGGCTATATGGGCAGCTAAATGGTGCAGTAGATAGAGCCTGGACTTGGAATCAGGAACACCTGAGTTCAAATCCAACCTCAGACACTTACTAGCTGTGTGACCCAGGGCAAGCACTTAATCCTGTGGGAAATGGCAAACCACTCCAGTATCTTTGCCAAGAAAATCCCAAATGAGGTCATGAAGAGTTAAACACAACTGAAATGACTGAACATCAAATATGGAGAGATCTGTGATTTTGTCAGTGGGGGCATTCCCTCCACTGGTGTATATATAATACAATCCTTCCATGCCTTTTGTCCTGTGCAATTCTCCTTTTATAAATTCTCTATAAAAGATGGCATGTGGAAAATCTTCTGGCTCTTTCACTATATCAAGTATACCAATCTAACACCTGTACATTCTCATTCATAATGTTTCAACACCAGCAATGCCCCCTGGACTTTCCAAATGGCAAGAAACTAAAGTGTCTACTGGGTGAGGTGATTTTGAACCCTCAATTTGGGTTAAACTTTTCTAAGAAATGGGGATAGTCAAAGTCAATGTCTTGACCTATGTCCATTTCCCCTTTCTTAGTATCAGTAACTTTCCTTTAACAGCTCAGGTGGAAAAGGTTGTATTCATAAGCAATTCTTCCTTCAGTTTGGCAGTTATGTTGATTTTTGTTCTATGATATGACTACATATAGATAGCTGACTTTGAAATAATTCCTCTATATGCTGTTTTCCTTTCTGTTAATTTCAATTTTTTAATACTAGACATTTGTCACATCCAATTCCTTATGATTCTCTTCTTTTTTTCATTGCTTAAGTACTTTATTTTTAAAATCCAATATCAGCAAAACATATAAGAAAAAGCACACATACTCATACCCCCACACCCACATACACACATATACACACAGCCCCATGAAACTGCAGTTATAGCTAAAATCCATTATCACATTACTATTAAGTGACTATTAGAGGATGTCTGTGAATGGTAATTATCCTTAATTGCTGCTGATCTCAAGCATCCCTTAAAGAAAGACCAGAATTTCAGAATGCCTTGAAGGACCAAGATCTATCACTTAAGGCAATGAATTTTTTTTTTGTCCATAAGGCAAAGAAAATAGAGGTAGTAGGATTAAAATGTTTATTCCAAAGTAAAATGACAATATCTGGTGTAAATATTTGTATTTAAAGTTCATTTGCACAGAAAGAAAATATTTATTATCAAATATATTTCCTTGTCAATTGATGTGCTTGGTCTTTCCAGTAGGATGGTTCAATTCTCTTCTTGAAGAAAGTATCCATGTGTACATATATGAGAATAGTTGATAAGCTTTAGGACTCTTTAATTTATTGGTCCCAAATTATATTTCCAAACATCACATTCACCACCACCCTCCCCTATGCTCAATATCATATTGAGGTCACTAAACATAAAGTAATATGTTGCTTTGGTTTGGAAAATCTTGTCAATTCTTCATAGGCTTTCTCTATTTCTTTAATATCTGGGAGAGATTTTGTGCATAAGCTGCAATTACCTTCACAGTGATCTGTTTGCTTTTATTCATCCTGAGCCCTTCAAGGCAACCTGGCCAGGTATCCCAATAAATTATTCTTGTCTTTGATTCCTGCTGAAAACAAAGCACCAACTTCTTGATTTGCTTGAGAACTCATGGGTCATTGTCTGATTCAAATGGAACTACACATCTGACAGTTTGATTTATGTCCATACGGACAACAGTAATAATACCTCACATTTACATTGTTCTTTAAAGTCTGCAAAGTGCTTTACAGGTGTTGTTTCATTTGGCTCTCACAACAATCTTGTGAGATAAGTGCTATTATCATCCTCATTTTATAGATAAGAAAGCTGTGGATGAGAGAGGTTAAGTGAGTTTACTAGGGTCACATAGCTATAAGTATCTGAGACAGGATTAGAACTCTGGTATTCCTGACTCTAAGTCCGATACTCTATCCACTATACCATCCTGCTTCTCTGTGAATCAAACTTCTTGACCTAATGGTATGACAACTCCCTGATCACTGGGAAAAGATTGTACATTTAAAAGAAACCTAGGGGCAGTTAGGTGGCACAGTGGATACAGCACTGGCCCTGGATTCAGGAGGACCTGAGCTCAAATCCAGCCTCAGACACAAAACACTCACTAGCTGTGTGACTCTGGGCAAGTCACTGAACCCCATTGCCTACCAACAAACAAAGGAAGAAAGAAAGAAAGAAACCTATAATTTTTTTTCCAGATGATCTAGGAACTATGTGATTCTTAGGAAATTATCCTAATTTCTACCTTTTGCCTGCCATCACAGTGGAAATATAAGAAGGCAACATAGGAATGAAGGAAATTTTACATTTTTGACCATCTCATGGGAAGTCATGGTCCCAAGATTCATCAAAGGTATCATAATGGATAGAGTGTTGAACATGGGGTCAGGCAGACCTGAGTTCAAATCTACCCTTAGATACTTAATAGTTTTGTGACTCTGGGCAATTCACTTAACCTGAGGTTGAGGCCTCAGTTTCCTCCTCTGTAAAATGGGGTTAATAAGAGTACCTATCTCCCAGCATTGCTGTGAGGATAAAGAAACAGTATTTATAAAGCGCTTTACAATCTTAAAGCATTTTATAAATGCTAAGTATTATTATTAATTATTCATTTATTTTTATAAATACTAATAAATTTATTTTTAGTTTTCAATATTCACTTCCATGAGATTTTAAGTTCCAAATTTTCTCTCACCTCCCCCCACCCCAAGACGGCATACAATCTGATATAGGTTCTACAAAATATATGGAACGCTTCATGAATTTGTGTGTCATCCTTGCACAGGGGCTGTGCTAATCTCTGAATCATTCCAATTTGAGTATATGTGCTGCCGAAGCGAGAATTATCACCATCATCATCACCATTATTATTATTATTACTGGGTGGCTAGCCCTCTGATGATAAGACTCTCTACAGTTAGCTTTGCTTGTCCTTGGACAGTATGTCATTGACTCCAGTTTCAAAGCCTTCCAGTTTGGTAGAAGCTGCCAAAGCATGTGCTTCCTCAGTGCAATTTTTGAGAACCTGAGGACATCTCCATATTACAATAAAATGCCAAAATAGGACTTCGATGGAGGACAGAAGAAGAAAGAAGAAGAAGGAGAAGGGGGAAGAGGGGAGGGCATAAGCAGGTGTTCTGGAGAGAGACAGAGATCCTTTAAGTCCCTGTTCATCAGATCACAGGTGCGCCTGCTCTGATACTGCGAACATCTCTACCACTGGGACAAAACAGCCTTATGGAAATCAGAAGTGATTTACACATAAACACTAGATAAGATTACCACTGTTCTGAATATAAAAAGACTATTGCTTATACCTAGACTTGCTTATCAGGTACTTTCCTAATGCAAACATATGAATTTTTAAAATGTGCTACAACATGACTAATGTGGAAATATGTTTAACATGATTGTACATGTATGACCCATATCAGATTGCTTGTTGTCTTGAAGGAGGAGGGAAGGGAGAGAAGGAGAAAAATTTGGAACTCAAAATCTTACAAAAGTGAATGTTGAAAACTATCTTTATGTATAATTAGAAAAAAATACTATTAAGTTAAAAAATTTAAAATGTACTAACACATTACTAGATGAAAGGTTTGTTTGGGGAAAGGGTAGAGTATAGTTCCTAGAGCTTTCTAATGGACGAAATGCCAGATGACACAGTTTTTTCTAGATCTCATAATAAAATGTTCACACAAACATCAGAAAAGGATGTGAGTTCTTCAGAGGCCATAATAATTAGAGTCAATTGGTAAAAATCAAAGCTTTTCAAATTTCTCACCAATACCACTCCTAGACTCCAATTTTCTTTCACTTATTGGAATAAGCAAAACTGTATTTCATGGCATGAAAGTTAACAAACTGAATAAAATAATTCATCTCAACAGGCATTTATTAGTGATGCTGATACTAAATACTAATACTCCTACAGAGTGCTCAGCACTGTAGGAGATAGAAAAGAAGTATATGACACCTTCTGGCCTCACATTGGGGAAACAAAACTCATATGTAGAGAATAATATAGCACAGGACAGGACTAAATGTCAAAAATGTGTGGGACACATAACAGGTACTAGAGGATTGAGGAAGAAAAAGGAATACACTTCTTTCATAATGTCACATAGAATCAGTCTCAAGAGTTGGAAGAGACCTTGATGGTCATCTAGTTGAACTTGGATGTGAACAAGGTGATTCTCACCTTGACAACTCACTACCTCCTAAGGCAACCCATTTTACTTTGGGGGATGACTCTTACTGCAAGGACAATTTTCTTATGCTAAGTCAAAATTGCACCTCTGAAACTTCTGCTCATTTCTTCTAGTTTTGTCTTCTAAGACGGGTGGAGCATACCTAACCTCTCTTCTATATAATGGCATTTTCATTACTTAAGGACATCCATTACATCCCTTCCTAAGTTTTCTTTTCTCCAGGACTAATCTCTTCCAGTTCCTCCAACTAATCCTTGTATGACTGATCCTTATATGCCATGGTGTCCACTTTTCTCAGCATCTTAGAATACTCTGCAATTAATCAGCATCCTTCCTAAAATATGCATCTCAGAACTGGACCCATCACTGCCCTTACTATAAAAGTACCTGAATTGAAAATGTGCTTTATATCCATTCCCAGAGAAAAAACTGATGGTGTCTGAATACAGATGGAAGCATATTTTTTTTAAACTTTCTCTATTTTTCTTGAGTTTTTTTGTCTATGTTTTCTTTTACAACATGACTATGATGGATATATTTTGTATGACTACACATGTATAACCTATACCAAATTGCTTGCTTTCTCAATGGAGGGGGAGGGAGGAAGGGAGAGAATTTAGAACTCAACATTTTAAAAAACGAATGGTAAAAATTATTTTTATACATAACTGGGGGAAAATGAAATACTAAACAAATATATATTTTAAATGCTTTTTTGACTACCATGTCACATTGTTGACTCATAATGAACTTATAGTTCATTGAAACCCACAGATCTTTTTACATTAACTTTTATCAAACCACATATCCTCCAGATTCTTCTGAAGAGCTTACTTTTTCAACTTCCTCACTCAAAATCCTTCAGTGGTTTCCTTCTGTCTACAGGATAAAATCCAAAACCCATGGCTACTCCCCTACATGAACTCTCTAGTACAAAGTAATATGTACTAAGAGCCATAAGAGTTGTGAAACATAAGAGGATTAGGAACACAGAGGGAGAGAGGGATCACATATAGACTGTAAGATCATAGAATCTTACACGCAGAAGAAACCTTTAAAAACTGTCTAGTTCAACCCTCTTATCTTACAGGTGAGACCTCAGAGCCTCCTGACCTTAGAAATCATACAATCAAAATCCCTCATTTTAAAGGGACTGAAGTCTGAGATTAGAAATGACAACCCCCCAGGTCAAACAGCTAATCAGTGGCAGATAGGTATGAAAGTTATTCATGAAACCAGTAAATAAGTATTTATCCTATGTGTAGGCATCAGGATGAGTGCATTTGGTGCAAAGGAAGGAACTGTGGGAGATGAATGTCAGGAAAACTGCCTCCACTGTTTCAATTAGAGAAGATTTACTGGAGAAAGTGAGATTTTTAGGAGCTGTTTGAATAATAGAAGTAAGAGAGGTCAGTAAACTGGAGCTAGGAGGAGCGAGGTACTTATAAATTTGGTTTAGTCACTATACATATCCTGAGAAATTCTCTAGTCCAACATTCCACTTAATCCAAGAAACCCCACTGCAACATTTCTGACAGAAGATCATCCATTTAAGTCTCGAACATGTCCAGTGATGGAAATTTATTGCCTCCAGAGGGACTCCATTCAATTGTTGGGTAGGTCTAGCTGCTACTTATTCTGAGACCAAGGTGGCCTCCTTGCAAATTCTACGCTTCGGTCTTAATTCTTTCTGTACGGCATACAGAAAGAATTCTGAATACATCAACTGCCCCTTCTGCATAGAGTTGTAGAGTCACAGAGATTGAGGGTACCTCCACAGCCACCTAATTCAGCCCATAGTTGAAGATCACCAACAAGTAGCTACACACTTGCGGATGAAGACACCTGGGATGGAGGAAGATGCCCCACTATCTCCAAAAGCAAATCATTATAGTATGGAACATCTCTAATTGTTGGGATTTTTCCTTGCATAAAGGCAAAATCTACATATTTGCAACTTCTACCTATTCTATATATATCCAAATCCTTTTCTATATGAAAACCCTTTAAATACTAAAAGACAGTCATCATACGCCCTCTTAATCTTCTCTTCTCCATGTTAAAGTTTAAAGTTTCCTTCAAGTCCTTCTTGTGTTGTAACTTCTCCAGCCTCGCTAGCCTGGATGCCCTCTTCTGAAGGCCTTTCTAAAGTACTTTCTAAAATATGATGCCTGGTCTCCTGCTCCTTGGCAAAAGCAGGAAGCTACTAATATAAGAAAATTGCAGACGTGATTACTATGTTGGTTAATTTTGCTGAGCCTCTTTTTCATTCTTTATTATATCGAATGGCTTCCTATGCAGGGAAGGAGAGAGGGATATATTTGAAAATGAAGGTAATATAAAATTAAGTCAAGAATTTGTTTTAATATCGTGTCCAGAATGGATCACAATACTCCAGATGAAGCCTGGAGGGATTTAGTCAGGGCAGGCAACATGGTAAAATGGAAAGAGTAGTGGCTTTGAAGGCAGAGGATCTGGGTTCAAACTCTGCCTCTGTAACTCTTTTAGCTGCGTCATCCTGGGCAAATCACTGAAGTTCTCTGAGTCTCAATTTTCTCATCTGTAAAACAATGTTAGGGAGGGGAGGAAACCAGATGGTCTCTAAGGTCCCTTCCAGTTCGAAATCTATCATTCTATGATCCTTGTCTGAACACCACAATATAATTGAGCAACACAATAATATATTGTGATTAACATTCTCCAAGTCCAACATTCTCTAAGTCTCCTTTAATGATTACACTAGATTTTGAGGGTTGCCTAATCACATTGATGACTCACATTGAATTTGAAATACACTAAACCAGCCCCAATATTTTTTCAGATGAATTCCTGTCTAGCCATATCTCTCCCCTCTTATATTTATGAAGTTTGTTTTTTGAATTTAACTCTAAGACTTTCCATTTATCCCTACTGAAATTCTTCCTGATCAATTTATTCCAAAGTTCTAGTCTATTTAGATCTTTTTGGATCCTGACTCTATAAACAATCTTGCTATCCCTCCCAGCTTTGTGAAATATACAGATTTAATAAACATGCCGCCTGTACTTTTATCTAAGTCATAGATTTAAAATGCTAATCATTGGGCTGTTCCAGTAGAGACCTCCTTCCAAGCTGACACTGAACTATCCCTGCCTATTATTTGGGTCTGGTTATTCAACCAGTTGTGAATCCATGTAATAATACTAATGTTTATGCCATATCTCTCCATATTTTCCATGAAGATAATAAGAGAGAATTTGTCAAGAGCTTTACTAAAATCTAGATAAAGTACATCTCTAGCATTTATCTGTTCTAAAACTGCTCTTGTCACTTCTCCCGATGCAGTCTTCTTTAGTCTAACAAAATATCCTGACTTCCTTCATCTACTCCTTGTGTGAAGTGATTTCCATCCCCCTCACTATCCTGGTTACTCTCAATTGTGCTTCAGATTGTTACTATCTCTCTTAAAATGCAGTACTGATGTTTTCTCTTCAGTTACCTGCAAGGTACTGCCATCGGGGTGAACTTTGACTTCAGTCAGCTACTAGCTTCACTACAAGCAATATTCTCTCCTTGTCTACCTACTGAAATGGCCTTCTTTGAACTTGACTATGTCTACTCCATTGTTGTTGCTGTTGTTCAGTGCTTTCAGTC